AGTTAAAATTACGTCATAACTGCTATACACTCTAGAAAATCGAATCTAAGTTGATATTTGAGAACGTTCTTAGTCAATAAATCAGTCTCTTATTCATATCTGCTAAAATATGGTAATATTTATTAATCGAAATATTAGAAGTAGTCAGTATATTGTTCCGTGTTAACTCCCGAAATCGGTTTTCTGAAATACCATTTCACCGAAGTCGTAACTGAAATCCATTTTATTAACAGGACATAACGGGTTCCGTGTCATTTCATCGACAATTAAGATAAACTGTCGGTGAACTAAGTTGCTGGAAATGAGCTAGTTGGGAAAAAGTAATATCGGATTTATGGGGCTTCGGCAACATGGAGTCTAGCTAATTCTTTTGTGCTGATTTAATATTTATTTATGATCATTTTGGAGTTATCTATAAATTCGTGAACGTTTACTATTTTATTATTAGAGGATTTTTTTATAGTGTTAGGCTTAAAGTTTATCATAAGAGTATGTGGATTTTTGTATAGTTTGTATTCCTAAATTGAGACCCAAACTTCAGCACCATCCAATTTCAGCATCTTTTTCGACAAACATTAATCAAATTCGTGAATGTTTCCAATATTCAATACCTTATTAATATTATAAAAGATTTTGAACCAATCCCATCTTAAAGCTTATTACAATAAAGTTTTATAAATAGTTTATTATCAAACTAAATACGATTGGGGTTACCAATTTTCCCCATCAATTCACTATCAAAGTATCGTAAAATTGATTAATAGCATAGATATTCCGACATGTGAGTAATTAGTAGGACCGATTGGAAGCGGTAGAAGTGGTGGAAAAATTAGTAAATCCATAAGATTGAAACTACTGAATAAGATGGGTGGCTACCCATCATATTAGCTAAAACTAAGTTGCAAAGGCTTTGTTCAAAATGCATGATTCAACGAGATTTATCAAGACGACAATAGGAAAACGCAAGGCAAGGCTGTATAATAAATTTACGAACTTTCACAATTTTATCATCATATTCCATCCAGGGCTTAAACTACTATAGTAGTTTGCCGGCCTGCATCTCATGGTATTTAATTCATAGATCAAAAATCATATTTTTGAATGGCTGGCAAATTAATATGATAATTTAAGCCTTGATTCCATTTTGTCTATTTTAACTTTTAATGAGGAAGTTTAGAATCTTATATGTGCAGCATAAAGCCACGCAAAGATAGTTTTCCGTTTTGCATTACAAGCATGTATTACTTTCCAAAGAAAAAAAAATCAAAATTATTTCACAAACTACCAACGTACAAATTGCCCACCTTACACCATTACTTCAAATGTATGAAAACCAGAATTATGATTCCACTAATAATGTTACACAAATCTATATAATTAACCACGCTTATTGTATTTGTGCAACGCTTTACCTTGTGTTTAATTTTACTATGAACAAAAAAAATCAATATTTATAAAAATACAAAACAATTACTTTTATGGTTAAAATGTTTATGTCTACAAAGCGTTTAATAACTACTATTTTAGCAACTGATTAGTTTGATTAGATTAAATAATGTGATTTAAATTTATTTTATCAAGTGTTAAAAACCGTTTTGAACCGATTTACTAATAAAAAATAAATCAAGATCACATCTTTAGATTAGATGATAGATATATGATTGATATAAATATTTTATAAGGAAACAGTTTTTCTTTTAATCAACTTGTCTTGTCATAAAAATGGCAAATTTAAGCAAATACAGTTTAGAAAAATACAATAGTTTATCGCTTCCTGAAATTGCAAGCGATGAACTAAAGAAAAAAGAAGTTGAATTCGAGGAATTACTAAATAATTTTATTCCTCTTATCAAAAAGTATAATCTTGAATTAGGACTCAGACTACTTCATAATCATAATATACCTTTGGAAGGTGAACAAGCGATGATCGAAACGTTTGATTATTTTCAAACTGAACCTGCATTAATTACATTGGCAGATTCTCCAAATGAATCTTATCCGGCAAGTTGGATTCTAGTCGATGACCAATATCTTGTTTTCGAATATTCAACAGATTTATATGTAAAGAAAGTATATGAAAGACTTGTTGAAGATTCATCCGTGCTAGATGAGATTAGTATGCTTATCAGAAAGTATAAGTTAGATTCTTTAATTGGTCCT